AACTCACAAGCCTGAATGTTAACCAAGAAACAGTGTGAAGTTTTCATGAAAACAAACGGGTTTTATTTTGTTAACCCGAGTTTTCGTATCAGTCGGGCAGGTCATTCTAACAACATATTTATTGTAAAGTACTGTTCGCTTGCTGGAGACAAACCGCTTCTAGAAGTAATTTGTATTCAGCCTAGCCGTGATGACGCTACAGCCTCTGTAACGAAACTCGCGAGCAATAAGCTATTACCATCTGCTGCATGCAGTGCCCTGAACCATGAATCATTCGAATGCTAATATTATTCTCTACCTGATTTAAGTGTTGCAACCTAGATTATTGCTAACTGGTAATTACTTGCTACCTCATTTAATCGTAGCACCCATCCATTAAACGCGCCGGAGATAGTCTACATCCTAATCTAATTCGACAACCAGCCAACCTCCCTAAATGCTAACAAGACCTTAGTAACAAAATAAATACAGCATTAACTACTAACTTAATAAATGACCTGAAGAGATGAAAATTCAAGAGATCGAAGGCACGATGTTTTATTTTAGACAAACAATGTCAACAACTACGCACTGCTTAACCAATGTGCGTTCCTTCCAAGTCATTGGAGTGATCGTCATAGACGGGGTCGACAGATTTGTTCCAGTCCTTCATGTGCTTCATGGCCGGCGCTGTAAGGTAGTCATCGCGCAGAACTTCCCATTTGGAAGTGGTCGTCGAAGCCAGTTGCTTCTCGTTTTTCACAAGCTTCACGTCAGAGACGGCGGATCTCGCTGTCTTAGCCCCTTTGACGGTGGAAAGCACTTTTCCAGCGTACTTTGCAACCGAAAACTCACCATCTTTAGAGGAGTGTTTCGGGAAGTCCTCGTCGACCGGAGCCTCTTTCTGGTGAACGCGCACGGCGTTGAACAGCTGAACGACGCCCTTCGTCGCGATTGTCCTGAGTCGCCGTTCCCCCTCTCGGTCACGACCGATGTCCGGCTTCACTCTCCCCAGTTCCTCCCAGTTTTTCGGCAGATGCTTCCGTCGCTTCAGTTTCTTCGTGGTGCTTCCGTGACCAATTGACATGACGTTATTACCATACGCTACTTGATCTACAGGTTCCTTTTATCATTATTGTAATTATTTATTTATCGATAGGAAATGTAAGGGAGAATATTTTGCTCATACGGTTACATTGAAAAACAACATAAAACATGAACTGTTTATGCACAACACAAAAAATGGTCAATTAAATTATTGGAACATAGCTGTTTTTCAAAGAAATATAATACCAACGCCAAAAGAATGAAACGGCAACCATGTCCAACCTCAGCCAATGAAAGTAAGCGGAAAGCGAATTAATGAACTAACTGCTACATACTTACGGTCCTTTTGATAGCAGCTGCTGGTGGTTTTGTCCGCGCAGTTCTTACCTAATTTCTGAAGTTTTCTCATCATTTAAACTAGCTTTCTCATATAGATATTCCCCGTTCTGTGCTAATGCTGCATTGATATTGTTTCTTAAGATATATCAGATGACTTCCGAAGAACTTCAAGAGAAAAAAACACTGGCTTGAACTTCATCTTCCATCATTGCTTCTACTTTCATGTCGCGGAGGCAGACGCGTCAGAGTGTGCCCTTCCAACATTCCAGATCCTGCGCCATAGTCTTAACTTTGGCAAAAGTCAACTGTAGTCTTGAACAGGCTATTTCCGTATATTTGCACCAGGTTAATTTTGGCCGTCTCCTGGGCCTTCTGTCGGCCATTTGTGCAAGAAATAATTGATTTGCCTTCCTTTCCGGAGGCATTCGCAACACATGCCTAAACCATCGGGTGTTGTTTGGACATGTGCGCGAATGCCTCACAAGAACTTAAATTTCGTAAAAAATGTCTGAACTAAATGAGTTTTATGCCTATATTAAATTTATAAATAGTGTTAATTAAAACGGATTGGCAATGACAATGTTGTACCATTTGTTTTTCCATCCGCTCGATCTTACAACAGGTACTTTACACTGTACCACCTGAAGACAACTACCGCTGCCGCTCCTTTGAACTCAGAAAACTAACCAGGTTCCATAAAAATACCTCAAGCAGTTGGAATGGGTGGGCAGTTACATTATTTTTGGCCAATGCTCATCATCGAAACTCATCCATTACCGATTCCAAGTCCGGATTAGAAAGAAGGAGAATTGAGAACCGTGGGGGAGGAGGGGCATCGTCAGTAAAAATTAGTCACATGCGTTTTATGTCATTGCGTTATCGTACGTTACGTCGACACAGTGGTTGCCGGGTTACAGCAAATTGCATTACCTGCATGAACTAAGGAAGACTGCGAAACGTCGTTTATCAGAACCTGATTATGCGCATTGGCAGTTGAGGGGGGGAGGCATAGAAACAATGCGATGATTGCCGCATACATTATGAAGATATTATAACTTACCTTCGTGGCTCAACGCAAAACTGCGAAATGACGCAATGCTGTTATACGTTCAATGAAATTTTGCTATTTAAATAAAGTTGCGTTGTGCATCAGATCGTCGTCCTACGAAAAGTTGACTCTAAACTAAATTATACTCACAAATTTCAATTTTGCTAAAAAATCAGGTAATTTGACATACGTTTTGTTATTGTATTTATTGTAAATAATAAACATCTGCTGCCAGATGAAATTTTAGAATCTTATAAATTCATTGGTTTGACAAAAGTTTCATATTGTGCTTACGGAGAGGTCATCATGGTTAGGTAAAATTGTGAGTTGGATATTGCAGTTGATCGAGATGACTACAGTCCGGTCGTAAAGAACCAACCGCGTGCCACAGGAATTAACGCTGATAACGACTTTCGATCGGCATCGAAACGGTTCATTCCGTTCACTTTTTGAATTGATGCGGCAATGTCGATCGATATTCATAAGTGGAAAAGATAAGTTCGTTCGCATGTACGCATAAACAGAGTTCTTCGGATTATCAGTTCAGCTTATGTTACGCATTTCAATTTACAGTTGTAAAATTAAAAGTCAACTGTTATATAAAATGTGCTGAAAGACATGACCGCTTAGAATAAAGTACAAACAAGAACGATGATAACAGTATACCACGAAAAGTACAATTAATTTTATGAAAATATCTCGCAACTGCTGAAGCAAAACAAACGACTAACGAGTATGATGAAAGGAGCAGAAGGTATCTGCCTGACAGAACAAGGATAGGACGTGAAAATGATATGGCTCGGCAAGAAGACCCCGAACGAAGTTCGTATACGATAATAAGTAACGCAAACAAGGTATAGCAAAATAGCCCGCAAAGAAGAAGCAACACAATGGAACAATACATGGCGAAATAATAATTAAAATGAAGAACAGAATGGAACAATGTTAATATGAACATAACCGAATGAAGGCAAAAGCAAAGTCATATGCCTAGGAGAAAGAAATCTAGATCATTTGATGATGCACTTACTGTAAGACCGACAGTCAAGATCACTGTCGACAACATAGCCCGCTTCTGCATTGCGCTTCGTTTACTGTAGGGCGAAGTTGCTTCGTCTTCTCGTTTGCTTCGATTCGGTTATTGCTGAGTCTCTGTTTTTCGCCAAAGCGATCGCAATTTGCACCACGCATAAACTTTGCTGAATCGATTATCTTATGACTTGTGAAGATTACACGGTTCCCTTGATCTGGTGCTTTCCAACCTATCCTCCGCAAGTCAGCTTAAGGAAGTGTTTAATGAAGGCTTCGATTTAGGCGCGTCAAAGATGGCGTTTCCGTTGATTACGTTCGACGACGATTTGTCTTTTAAATCACCGCCGAAGTTCTCTGCATTATTAAATGGCTTGTTGCTGCACTGATTTGTACAGTACTGTCAAAGTACTGTAAGGGCATGGTTTTCAGCCAAAAGCGAATAAGTAATTGACTGTGGCTGATAAATTGTTAGCTGTTATTTCAATCTGCCTTACGGACTTCTTGTGATTTGGGAGTCATGCATACTCATTTACCGTAGGTTATTCGTTTGGTCCATGGGGACAGGCGCAGTTGGTTCGTAGCCTTCTTTGCACGCTGCAGTGGCAGCAGCGTCCTGTGTGACCTTTTTGTTATTAATTGCTAACTTCCCTAAACAAGTTATTCAACCATTTGTACGTCATTGCAGGAAGCCAAAAAAGGGTAGCAGTTCGTTCACCTGTCGGTTGTTGTTTGTTGAAATCATCACCCTGAGCCGTTTGCATAAGCAATGTCCTGGTGTATCTGCAGTTTTTCAACACGGGTTACTGCATCACAGAAGGAAATATTCTTCTTTTAAAGATCTGCCTCTACCTTGTTCCTCCATGTTGCATGCTGGCTTCCTGGTCGGCGTCTGCCGTTTCGGCTAAGACACGAGGAGCTCACGCATTGGAGTAAATCGTGCATGTTCAACCATTTTGTCTAGTAACTTCAACCTCCTTTTCTTAATCTCCACATCTAATGAGGTCACCTGTGCCCAAAAGAGAATCGAGCCATTCCTTACGTGGTCGTGCCATTTAAGCCTCATTATCCCCGGAAGCCAGCGCTGTTGTACGTTGTTCAAACGTCTTTCTTGTTTCTTCGTTACAGAAACTGTCTCCATGCCGTGTAGCAATGCTGAATTGACAGCGGCAAGGTACAGGCGGATTTTCATGGGAAAGTAACTCTTTTCCCAAATGTTGGGCGGGTTTCCGAAAGTACTCGAGGCTAGGGCGAACCTTCGATTAATTCTGGATGGATAGTATCATCGCGGGAGATAGCGGATCCAATATAACTAAACTGGTCTACCTCCTAAAGGGCTTCACTTTTCTCTTCCACTTGTAGGTCGGTTTTGGCGGATGGATTCCTCACAGCCTTTGATTTCCGGGCGTTAAGGAAGCGACTTTCTTTCGCAGTTGTGTTGCATACGGAAGCCATCAGATGACAAAACCCGTTTCCCGTACTACTGACCAGGAGAATATCGTTTGTGTACTCTATGTCAAGAAAATATCTAACCGAATATCTTGATCGACGCAGATGTTTAGAATGAGACCTTCGTATTTGCCAGGGTCAGCACTATTTGTCGAGAGCTGTGTTGAACAACAAAGGCGAAAGCACATCGTGCTAACTCCACAGTTAATAGGAAACCATTTCAGGTACCCTCCTTCAACATTGATAGTAGAGATGGTTTTGCACGTGTCTCTTACAAAATGGAAACGATGTGCTTAGATATTTCATAACATTTCAAGATTTTCCACAGTGTCGGACGGTGCAGTGAACGCAATGCAGGCATAAAGTCGAGGAAACTGCATACCAAGGCAACAAGAATTGTCGGCATTGCTCAATGATCCTATTGAAAATTTTGTCGATTCAAGATGGCCAGTCCGTAAGACGGCTTTATTTGAAATCTCCCATCAGTTTCCTGCCTCAGCTTTTCTAGAATACTCCGGGAACAGTTTCCCGGGGGTTGACAGTAATGTGGTATGACGCTAATTGTAACACTCGGTCATTTGATCCTCTTTAAATATGGGGGCGTTTATTCCTCACTTCCTACTCTTTCCTCAGATATGAGGGACAGAACGGTGTAATCATGATGGAGGTTGTGAGATATACTGTGGTGTTGTCTGATGTGCACGCTTTACGTATGCAGTTCTGCTCGATACGTGAAAACTGAATAAAACTGTGCAATTGATTGAGAACCATTTGTGGCACCCTTTTTTTATGAAGTGTAAGGTGGACTTTAATCTGCTATTTTGTTTCGTCAGCTAGGATACCTTTGTTGGTGTTGATAATATGCCTATAGCCTAGTTAGGGACTTGTTTTCCCGTGTTTCTTACCCATGAAGTTGTATTTTTTTCATTTATTTACCTGAAAAGGATGAAAGACGAGTGGCCTGACCAGGACGCGAACTGGGACTTCTCCATTGTGAG